GAGAGAGAGAGAGAGCGAGAGAGCGAGAGAGAGAGAGAGAGAGACAGCGAGAGAGAGAGAGAGCGAGAGAGACAGCGAGAGAGACAGCGAGAGAGACAGCGAGAGAGACAGCGAGAGAGACAGCGAGAGAGACAGTGAGGCACAACATCCTTTCGATGAGCCTGCCATACCTGCATCCTTTTGACCATCATGAGCTGCTCCACCAGTGGCTGTGGTTCTCCAGTCAGGTTCATTGTACCCTCTAGTAGCACCACAGCATGGATAGTGGGGAAGCCAGTTTTGTTCAGCTGTTCTGCATGCACTGACAGCATGGTGGGGATTCTGTGCAGGAAATTAGGACAGGAGGGAAGAAGATACACTAAAATGCAGTTACTTCTGCATGTGTGTGTGTGTGGCAGGGAGGGGGGAGCGGAATTGCTTATTCCAACACCCACAGCTGCAGTTTTCTCACCCTTTGACAAGGCTGATGCACTCCTCAGCCTGGCTCCGCAGTTGGTTGTTGCTGATGTGTCCCAAGCTGTCTCCCAGTTTGGCAAGTGACTGCTCAATGGCATTCCAAGAAGCTAGAGAAGAGACATGGGAGTTTTTTAAAGTTCCAGTCAAGTATATTCCTCAATTTAACAATACAGCTAGGACAGCCTCAAAACCGAAAAAGGTAATAACTCAAAATGTAGCAGTCCACACAGCACACTCTTATGGGATTGTTTTCTCTTACAGCATATATTCAGGCCGCTTTTTATGTACATGTATACTGGCCTTTGGAATTCAGCAGAAACCTGAGAGGAAAAAGGGCCCAACAGACAGTGCTATTTGTGCCTTAACACATCCACTAACAAATAGTGCGTAGCAGTAGCAGAAGCAAGAGCAGAAAAGTTCTTACCACCAACTTTGTCTCCCCCAACATCTGCATCTGCCCATATGCACAGAAATAGACTTGCTGGATTCAAGATCTACACTAGGATCTGCTTCATATTACCTCAGACCAATGATCAATCCATTAATATCCAGTTAAAGCACTGTCTATTTTATTTGCTAGTAGGTCCTACTCTAATATTTTCCAGTCCTGCTACTCAGGATCTATTAACTGGAAAAGGTAGGTACTGAACCCAGAAATAAAAACTGTTCAATTTTATCATCTGGCCCTTCTTCAAATTAAGGCTTTTATCATGACTATAGTTCTGAGCACATAGGATCACATCTCAGACTTTGAAATACAGTATTTGTATACTGAAGTTTAAAAGGCATAGGAAGAACTGCAAAGATTAATCATTTTGGGAAACAGCTGGGAAAATGTAGCTTTGCCTGGCAGGAAGGTAGCAGTGCCATCTTATATAGGCAGAGGCCAAGACTTTGAGCCAGTACAAGCTCTGCTAAAAGAGGCTGAGGAACTCCTGCGTCAAACCTTGTAAAAGGCCCCAGACATGCTTTTTTTTTTTTAATAATTCCCAGTCATGGCATATAGGTGACTCCTAAGTCAATCACAGATTGAAATTAAGTCTCCTACAGTTCTTTCTTATTGCAATAATACTGTGTTTGCTATACAAATAACATACATGTCTCTTCCAACTTGGCTATATGAATCAGGGCCTGGTTCTTGGGGCTACCAAGGATTTTCAGCAGCCGCTCCAAGCACATCTTGAGCTGAATCTCAGTTGCTCCCTGCTCCAATGGCTCCTTGAGTTTCTCTGTGTAGAAGGCGGCACAGCGCAGCATCCAAATGAGGACACTCATCAAGGCACGACAGAGGCCAATGCATTCTTCTGCCTTGCCATGGCAGCTGCAGAGAGTAAACAAAGAGTAAACAGTTAATCTTTAACAAAGACACTGACTTCCTTAGCTCAGCCACACTGTTGTAGGGTCTCTAGAACTTCCACTGGGGTCCACTATTTTCCAGGTCCCATACATTCACTCCACCACCCAAATACAGGTTGAGCTTCACCAAAATAAATGAAGATCCAAAGGGAAATCCTGTCAGAGATTTAGATGCCACCTTCTCTTCTCTGAGAAGGGTGAGAGAACAGAAATGCCAATCCTGATGGAAACACATCAGGAAAGGAGTCTTTCTAGTTGAGTTCTAATTTACTGTGCAGGAGCCTGAGCTACTCAAAGAAGCAGTGCTGGGACATCCAACCCAGGTTTTCATCACCACTTAGCTGGGAAACTCCAAAAAGGCCAGTTCATTGCCCATCACTGACAAAGAAGAAACATTGTGGCCCATTCCAGATAGCTTTCAGTGGTCCAGGTGATGGGGACCAATTGCTTCTATAGAAACACTGAACCCCACAGTCAACGGAGAGGGAGCGGGACAACAGATAGATTGGCACAAGCTGAATGTCTTTCCTTCACTCACAGGAAAGAGAAAGTTATATCTACCTGAATGGCTCAGAAAGTAAAGGAGGCCACCTTTTCAGGTACACAGTGCACCTTACCAAGAGACTGATCTGCATGCCAGGAAACTTCTGGTTCAAATCACGTCTTTCCCACAAACTTGCCAGGAAGCTTAAGCAAGCTACTACCTCAGCCTCAATCCTCCATCTGCAATGTGGGCATAATACTATTCAACCTCCTTACATGACTGTTTTAAGGTTCATGGAGATAATGCAGAAGCAGTGATTTGAATCCTGTCATTAACACCACGCACAGTAACTGGAAGGGGAAGGGGCCCAGAAAGGGCTCAAGAGGCAAAACTCTGCTACTCAACCACTCTAGGCCGCCTATGCCTTTCCTACTGGGGTTTCATAGCAACCTCAGGAAGAGATGGGATAATGGAGGATTTCTTCTATCAGGCAGGGTACTAAAGTCTCTGACTGAAAGAAATCAAGTATCCGGGGCTTGCACACTGTGGCACTGCTGTGCACATAGTCACATTCACAATCACCACAGTACTTGCCTTTGTTTAAACAAATTAAAAAGCGAAAAGGAAAATTATCCAAGCCTATGATTAAAATGGACTGGCCCAGAAAGCTAATGAGGATTGAGGAAGAAACCCTTTTGACAGGACAAGTACTACTACAACCGACACAAATAATCCCAGACCTGAAGGGTTTTGATCAAATTAAAAAAACAAAAGATTGAATTAACAAGGGAGAGGATTAAGTAGTGGCTTTCTATCTAGATGTGAACAGCTGTTTATCAGTGTTCTGGTGATAGGTTAATATTCATTGTTTCTATTTTCTTTCAGGAAGGAAGAGTTCCTATCTTCTCACATTTCCATCTGCATGAGTATACTAACCCAGTTAGCTCTAAACTAAGAGCATTAACATTACAGATTTGGTCAGATTTTTAGAATGCTAGGGTCTTTCATTTATTGAACTGAAAGACAAGATGAAAGATAAGTAAGTTACATGCAAGGTTGCAGATTTCCCTGCAGAACCCAGAACCCTAACAGTTCCTGTGTTGTTCTCTTGTTGGTTTATTCTATGCATTTTGAAAAGCACACTTCTAGTCCTCATGATTGTGAAGATGTTTGCAACATCAATCACTGCATATAACATGGGGATTCACCGTATGCCAATGTCTATTTCACTCTTTCTTTAATTCCAGAAGCCCCCTGCTTCCTCAAATGCATTGTATAGTTTGTTTTTATATATATTCTGGCCACCTAGCTGGCTTTTGTCCCTGGACGAAGCAATTGAGCAAGTCTGACACAATAGCCAGTTATCGCATATAGGCTAGTAAACTTTCTATGGCTCCCAACTGTTTTACTTTTATATTTATTTGATAAATACCTTGCCTTTCAAGTAAGGAAAGAAAATACAATTTTGAGTTACAGAGTTTCCAATCACTTGGGCCAGCATGCCCATCACAGTGCCTCCACCTCAGTATCCATCATGCCCTTGAGGACTAAACAAGAACACACTCTGAGTACACTCTGGATTAGGTGGCCTTGGTCTGAATTAGTGATACATTTTCATGCTCTTAAGAAAGGGGATATACCCAACATAAATTAGTTAACCCTTAATTAATAGGAGATCCAGTTCTTTGAAGTGATCACTTGTTGCTTAGGCCAAGAAAGGGCCCATTTCAGCCTTATGAGAGCCATTTACTTGCTTGCTTACTTCCTGTACACCGTTTAGAGATCCTGACTGGATACAAGATAGGTCACAATTGTTTTTAATAATAAATAATAATAAGTTACTTTTACTAGAATTCCCATAGTTCACCAATGAATTTTAACATTTACAATGCAGAGGTGCATACCAAAGATCTGTCAGCAATTAAGGCAAAACTAAAATGTGTTAAGTGTCCTGAAAACATGTTCTTATTTCAAAAGATAAGAAGCTTTGCTCAATCAGACTAAATACCTAAACCATGATTCGTACAGCCTGCTTAGATATGGTTGTTCTATCAAGTTCTTAAAAGCATCATTCAGCTTATTATCATGCTTCATATTCTTATGGCTCATTTTTGTTTATTGTAGCTTCCATGCTATTTCCATGTTTTGTTGAAAATGACAACAGCAGCAACCTGCAGGGTCTTCACAGTTGATTGGCGGACACACACTACCTGAGCCGGTCACAAAACATATCCATGATTTCCAGCAATGACTGGACACAGAGGTCTCGGGAGAAATCATCAAACTGAAACAGGGAAAGCAAAAACAAAGAAGCTGGTCTCAAAATAAACAAGATAACTAACATGCAGAACATGGAATTAGGCTTCCCACAATATAGTTTCCTACCTGAACATGTTCTTTATGTAAGACACTGATATCTTGATGCAATGCAGACTATACTTTATGCCCTGCTCAGCATTTCAATAGGCTCTAAAAGACAGTTATTTATCAAGTGCCACCACAAGCAACTATGTTCCCAACATATTGACATGGCTCTTAAAATCCTCATTTTGGTGTAGACATAACATTTTCTTGACTGGAAGAACAAAAACGCCTATCATGTTCTCTTCTTTCTTCTCCCACTGAAATTCTTTCCTTTCCAGTCTATATGGGTGTCTACATCAGAGTGACTCACAGAGGTGGTGCTGGCATTCTCCTGCTAGGGTTAGAGCCCTGAATCTTTCATTTGGAGCCCCAGTATCTGGGAGGCCATCTGCCCCACCCTGCCACTGCCCATGGGCACTTGCTGAAGGAAAGGTTCAAAGGTTCAAGGGGATTTTATGCAGCACAAGGTGATCCGTGCTGCGTAAAATCCCCCTGGATTAGTTGACTTTTGCACACATGTGCCTCACCTCCTGCTGTCTCCCACATTGAAATTTTCTGCCTGTGTTGTTTCCCAGAGTTAAACGCCCTCTTCTGCCTTATCCATAACTCTCCTTTACAAATGGGGTGTCATTCAAAAGATCCTGTCTCCTGACAAGATGCACAGAGACTTTACTCTATGCAAATACAATTTTTTCTTTGGCAGGGGGGCAAGGGAACCTAACACCTTCCCTGGTGAATGATAAACCTGCAATTTTTAACCAGTGGCTCCATATTAGCTCCAAATCTTAGTTTTAAACAGTATCTTATAGCTAAGCATGGTTAGTGTCAGCCTGGATACAGTTGTAATGCCAACAATAGATAATGCTAGAAAAACAGACATGGAAGAAATGGGAAAGGGGCATATGAGCCAGAAAAATATACCTAATCTCATAAGCAGTCAAGGAAGAGATCATAAGAGATCAGAAAATCTCTTGCACTGGCCATATGTAGATATCACTTCAGAATAAACACATGCTATTTTTTAAAAAAATAAGTACTATATTACAGATATATGCTGCCTTTCTTCCTCTTGCAAGGAACACAAGTCAGCTTACATGTTTTTTCCTCCTCTCCATTTTATGCTCACAACAACCATGTGAGATAGTTTAGACTGTGAGGCTGTGAATGGCCCAATGTCATAAAGTATGTAAGTTTCTGAGTACAAGTCCAACACTCTCACCACTACGTCACAGTGGCACTGGGGAAGGTGAAAGTTTTTCTCAAGAACAGAAGTGGCATTAAATTGCCAAGCATAACGTCTGAATTCATAGAAAAGCAAATACTGAATAATACCAAGACTATATTTGAGCAAAAATTTCAAACCTCTTTAGTCTAAGCTGAACACTTACACACTGGGCAGCTTTGCACAGTCATGGAGGGAAAGTATCCATTGTGGCTCTTTGCCTTTCCAGCTTGTGCCAGTTGCAGACTAATTAGCCTAATTATTCACACCAGATGCAGGTTGTCATGACATCTGAATCCAGCAAGACTGGTGGTTGAGATACTTTACAAATCACTATGAAACAGATTGCTGGGTGGTTTGTAAACCACCCGTCTTCACCAAGTTCAGACATCAGAAAAACGTGTGCCAGATGAGGTGAAGTGTGGTAATTATGTTAATTAGGTGGCTCACAACCAGTACACATGGGGAGGAAAAATAAACCACTGATTTATTTTCCCCTCATAAGCATGCAAACCTGGTAGTGTCAAGTTTCTATTTTATATTTTGGTGTGCAAAAATCCTTATGGATTAGGTTGCTCTAGAGCAAATGTTTATTTATTTATTAGATTTATATCCCACCTTTATTCTTTTCTTTTTTTAAAGAGATCAAAGCTCTTAACACCACACTGGCCCTCTTACAGACTAGCACTCAATGGTCATATGTTCAGCAAACTACATGATACACTACTCCATAGACTACATTGTGGGGTAGTAGTTTTAAATGTACTCTCAGGTAAAATAAATGCAATAGCCTTCACTTCACATAGAAAACATGCACAGTGAGGTAAGGATCACTCTTCTTGATGGGCTGGTATTTTTACACAGCGAGTTTTTGTGTGACACAGTTATAAAATACAATTACCACTTGACAGTTCAATTGGTTACTCAGCTCTCACTCCATAGCTAAGCTGGAGCTGAAATAAGGCCCAAGATTTACAACTTACAGGACTATCCTAAATTGTGGGGGGATTTCCATGATGGAGGAACTGCCATAAAGGTTGGTCAGCTCACTGTGATTGGGGTGGGATTTTTCTCCTTCACCAGCAGTTTTCTTGTTTAAAAGAAAAATTCCCTCCCATTGACACCAATTGGAAGAGAAATAACTATGCAGTTCTAAATTATACCCTAGACTGGCATACTTTGGAGTCCAATCCAGAGGTATGTTTGGGAAGGAAGGGGGCCCTTGGTCCTGTGAATTCAGGTCTGCCACTGTCACATCTTAGAAACTCCCCAATTTAAGTCCTACAGCCAGCAAAAACACCACCAACAGTACTTCTACACATGGAGTTTTCTGTCACCCTTTGGGGTAGTAGTGATGTCCTGCCAGCACAGCAATGTCCCCCAACATAGTGGCACTTCCACAACCTCTCAACCTGCCTCCTACAGAAGTTTGGATTACTGTTCTTTGTTTCTTTATAATATTGTTAGGCAGCGTTTCAATAGAAGGCAGTTTACAAACAAACAAGATAAAAGGGCATTGAGCAAAACCAACCAGCAAGTGTTTAAAACTTAGAACTAAAAGTTACTAAAACCCTGAGAACAGGAAGATCAGATCTTGGCTTCTAAATGACAAAACACTGGTGTCTCCCTTACCTGTTGATGCCACAGAATGGCACTACTGAAATAGCCCTCTCCCTGGTCACCTTCTGTCTCACCCCCACACAGAAAGAGCATGTAGGAGAGTCTCCAATACAGATTTAACATTTAGGGCAAGTTCATATGGAACAAAACAGTCATTTAAGTATGCTTGTCCCAGGAAGCACTAGGTCTTAATGATTAAGTTCAGCCCAATGATGCACTAGACTAGAACCAGGGCATTTTGGGGAATGGTCCTTTGTGTTCAGAGCAATGGATTCTAATCCACATCTTCCATATTCTGAGCCTGCTGAAGTTTCTGAACTTTCCTCAAGTCTTTCATATAATGGTTTAAATTAATCCAGCCTGGATGTTACAAGAGCATCAATAGCTAGTACAGCTGCCTTAGGTGGTAAATGTGCTTTATGCCACAGATGCAACTCAAGCAAGGGAAAGACTGGATAAAACAGCACACATGAAAACACACATCCCAGTTAAAACTTGCTCCTTAAGGAGACACGAACCCTATTCAGAGTCACAGAACCTCCCAAATCCATTGAATCACAGACTAACTGCACTTGTGCCTTGCCTGAATTGAATTGCACCCTAGGTCTCAGTTAATTACATCCATAAATAATTTTAAATCTTCCTAGTACCAAATGGGGGGAAGGACAGGAGGAGTAGAAGACTTGTCCACTGTGAATGGTCTTGCATATAGCTCTTTGCAACATTTGTATTGAACTAAATCCAACTTACAAATTCTTTAGTGACTGCCAAAACAAACCCTAAAAACATATTAGAAGAAATACATTCAGTTATTCATTCTTTGCACATCATTTATATTTTTGTTGACCTCTGCCTGCCATCTTCTGCTAAGCCTTCATTTCAGCCAAAAAGATTGGAAGCACAGCAGTGGAGAGGATGCTTCTAATGTGAAACTCACAACTCTGAATTCAGCTCTAGATAACTGTAAGTAATTAGATATACTTAGGCACAGTTAGACGGGCAAAGAAATAAATCCTTGTTCCCTCCATTCTATCTTCTATTTGCCATCTAGCAGAACTTTTTAGGCTTGCCCAGCTAAATGCTGCTACAAGGACATCCTAGACTTGCCTGAGACCCCTTGTAAGCTATTTGCTGGGCACTTCTAGGACAAAATATCTTGCATCCTCTAGGACTTAGGCTTTGGTGTCAGTCAGGTGAAGTACCCAGGGCACAGTCTGGTCTGGTCTGGTTTTGTTGGATGAGTTTCAGTTGGTGCAGCTCAAAGACACTCACAAGGTGCTTGAAGAAGTTCATCCAACCACTTCTGTACTGGATCCTTACCTCTGTGGGGTGGTGGACTACCACCTGAAACAAAGTGGTAATCAGTGCCTCTGAGAGAGAGAGTGGCCCCATGCCAGCTGGAAGAGGCAATGATGAGACCACACATGAAGAAATTCTGTCTGGACCTGGAATATCTCAACAACTTTAGGCTAGTGATAAATGTTCCTTTCCTGGGTAAGGTCCTTTATCAGGTGGTGGCCAACCTACTCCAGACACCCTTTGAGGAGACAATTTATTTAGATCCATTGTAACTGGGTTCAAGCCAGGGTCACCCTGTATGATGATTTATGACAGGAGAGAGACAAGGGACTATGACCCTGTTGATACTTTCTTGAATCTCTCAGTGTTTTTCAATATCATCTACCATGGTGTCCTTCTGGGTGACTATTTGAGCTAGAAGTGGGGGATACAGCATAGCAGTAGCTCTGCTCCTACTTAGACAACCATCTCCAGAAGATGGTGCTTGAGAAATACTGACTGGTCCCATGGATCCTCCAGCATGGAGCTCCTCAGGAGTTGGTCTTGTTCCTCATGCTATTTAACATCTATATGAATCCAATTAGTGGGATCATCCAAAGTTTTGGAGTGTTTTGCTATCAGTATGCTGATGACATATAACTCTACTTCACTTTTAATATCTATCAGATGAGGCTGTAGATGTGTTAAACCAGTGTCTGGCTTTAACAATGGACTAGATGCAGGCTAAGAAACCAAAGAATCCAGGCAAGAAAATGATGCTGTAGGTGGCTGTGTTCTTGAAATGGATGAGGTTGTTCAACCAGTTCTGGATGGGATTGTGTCTTCCTTGAAGGAGCAAGTTCATACCATGGCGTTTTGGAGCTGTCTTGGTCACTTGAAACTCAGTGGTATAGACTGCCTCTCATTAAATTCAGCTGGTGGCTCAGGTATCCTCAGCATGAGAGGGATAGCCTGGTTTTAGTTATTTGATCTCATAATTTCCAAATTAGCTTATTCCAATATACCCACATAGAGCTGCACCTGAGGATTGTTCAGAAACTGCAGCTTGTAAAAAATATAGCACCTAGACCATGAGTCTTCAAACTACGGCCCGCGGGATGGCCATCCATCAGGCCCACACTGCCATTCGCCGCCCGCTGCACAGGTAGGGAGGTGGTGGCTCGCTCGCTCACTCACTTGGGGATGGTCTCTGGGCGAGCAAGCCGCCGCCTGCCTCCCATATGCACGTGCTTGGAGATGTTCTCCAAGAGAGCAAGACGCCGCTGCCGCCTGTCTCCCGTATGCGCGCGTGCTCAGAGATGGTCTCTGAGCGAGCAAGCCACCACCGCAGCCTGCCTCCCGTATGCGCACGCTCCGCTCGCTGCTGCCTTGCAGCGGGGAGATGATGGCTTGCTTGCTGGGAGATGGTTTTGGACTTGCTGGGAGATCTGAGCGAGCGAGCGAGCGAGCCACCGCCGCACGTGCACCCAGGCACCCCCACCTCACCCGATGGTCACCACAGCCTTTCAACTGGCCCCCTATTCAAAAAGTTTGAGGACCCCTGACCTAGACTAATAACCAGGACCAGACAGTCCTCATATATAACACCAATTCTGACTTGCTTTCACTGGCTGCCAACATGCTTCTGAACCTGATTCAAGGTGCTGGTTTTAGCTTAATAAATTTAACACAACTTGGGACCACAATTCTTGATGGAACACCTCTCCCAGCTACAAACTACACAGAAGCTACAACCAACATTTGAAGTCTTCCTCTGAGTGTGACTGCCAAGGAAGGCTCCAAGGGCAGCAACGACCAGGACAGCCTTCCCTTTGGTGGAATGATCTCCCCACTGAGGTCCATCTGGCACCACCTCTAACATCCTTCCAGCACCAGGTTAAGACCGCCCTCTGTGTTGCAGCATTTAAAGACATCTAAGGATACTAAATGGCTTGATAGATGTCAGGTCACCTATACCAGGTGCTTTTAACAGGTCAATTTTGTATTAAATATCATTTTAGCTGTGAAAAGTACATTTTGAAGCACTTGATGGTTTTAATGCACTATAGCCCTGTTTTAGGAACTGTTTTAAACTGCCCAGGGAGCTTTGGCTACCAGGGAGTACAAAAGCAGAAGATAAGCCAACAGTTATGGTTCCTTCTCATAAAGGAAAGCAAGAATGGCTCAGCACCCCCCACCATTCACTGCTGGTAGAAGAGGAAATAGAGCAGGAGATGTCTCCTGCCTTTTTGTTACCTGATGCAGCTGGTGCTTTTCCAAGGAGGTTGCATATGTGGCAGATGGTGGTAGTAGATCCAATGCCTCTTCTGCACTACCTTTCCAAATTTTAATCAAGGCTTGAGAAGGGGCATGTGGCTAAATCCTACTCACTACTTTAGCCACTAAAGTGGCTGGTGGGAATAAGTCACTCTGCTTGTCTTCTTCAGGAAGCAGCACCCCCCCACCCCACCCCTTCCTGCTGCTGCTTGAATGTGGGGCCAGGATGCAGGACCACAGGGTTAGCGGCGCTACCCTGGGCTTAAGGTGTCATGTGAACCTTCCCATAAACAGAGATAATGGTAGAAAGCAAGTCAAGTCCCACCACGTCCCAAACCTTTAGTCATCCTGTTTAGAAAAACTGCATATTCCGTTTTTCCAGTTTGTACTGCCAGACACTGAAAAGAACAATAAAAATTTGCAAGCAATCACAAGGAAACTTGCTATGGCTTTAAGCAAGACTAGAGCTTCACTCAAGTTCACAGAAACTGCTAGGTTATACAACAGGTACTATCCTTTGCAGTCAGATTTCCACAACTTTTGAAAACAAGTCAGTCCTTTCTATCTGAAGATATCAGGAAATAAAGCAATGATTAAGGTTTAGATGAGGAGGTGGAGAAACATTTGAATGCTACCTTGCTGATGGCCATCAGAACAGTAGAATAGGACACCATCTGTAAATGAGAGGGGAGGAAGGAGAGGAGGGGGAGGGAGATGGTTACTAGCCAGAACTAACATTTAAACAAACAAACCCACAAACAAGCCCTGCCATTTCGACCGCCATGGGGGGCGACAAGGTCACTTAACAGCGATGCAGCTTGTTGCTCAAGCACTGGTCTGGCACAAATTTAAACAGACATTTTTAGGTGATGGCATATTTGCTTCATATCAGCTTTATAGTAAGCAGGAAGCAAAAGAAAAGGAGAGTTTTAAAAAGCAACAAAAATCTTCTCTCTGTGAAAAGATCTTGCAAGAATCTCACAGCACCACCTTTAGCAAAAGGAGGAGGAAAAATGCTGCTTACTCTTCTCACTTGAGGAAACACTATGCAAGTTAATATATCAACACTGTCTGCTTGGTTGAAAGTGAACAAAATAACTAAGATTCTCTTTCAGAGTAGTCACAGGTACTTTTTGCAATTTCTATTAAATGCTCATTTATTTTTTATTTATACTTGGCCCAATGGTTTGAACAATCCTCCAATAAAGCCAAAAATATATCACTCCAGGGCTGTGTGTGTCTGCTGCTTTCCAAAATTTACAGGCTTCACTAATTCAAAAACAAACAGAAACCAACCAGGATATTTCTAGTCCTTATGGTTTCAAAGATCTTCAGATTTCTCAGTAGCAAGTGGTAGCTGAGTATGATTTCCAGTGACTGCAAACAGCTATAACCCCCTTCCCCATGATTTAGCAAGACCAATGTTATATAAAAGGGGTTTTAATTAATAAATCTGCAGAATTATGTAAATAAAGACAACTAAGCAAACTGGCCAAACATTTCAGAGAGGAAAAAACTAAGAAAACCATGCCGTGTGTTGTTTAGATCTGAGTTCTGTGAGAACTTCCTTAAAGGGTATTTATTTCTTTATTTAATTTATATGCCACCCCACTAGCTATAGGCTCTCTGGGCAGCTTACAACGTATTAAAATTGAACAACATAAAACAATACAAGCACATTATAACATTTGTTACAAAGACCAATAATAACAATAAAATCAGTAAAAAAAATTAACAGAATTAAAACGAAAATAGGAAAACCTGAACTAATAAATACTAAATGCTATATGTATGTATAAAACCCAAAAATAAAGCATAAGCCATTTAAATTAAAAATAAATACACACATTCCCTAACTGAAAGTATTCATTTATCCCAATAACATCTGTATACACCATCTGAAGATAAAGGGGACGCCTACCTGGGAACTGATTGCATATTTCAGGTAGGACAAAAGCAGTGGGTTTGGAGATGGGCCAATCATGGCTTGTTCAAGGAGTGCTTCTGCAATTAAAAAAAGGAAAGAAATTCAACCTGAAAAATATGCCTTCTCATCTAGAAGAATGAAAGCCATCACTGGTGGACCTACAAAGTCTCACATGAAATCTAGGGCGCTCTCAGGAATTCCTATGATTTTTCATTTCTGGCAGTATAAGAGGAGTAAATAATTCAAGAAAGAAAAAAGCTAGTTCATTATTCCACAAGGAATTCTGGGTAGGAAATGGACACTGCCTCCGCCGCCCCCTCTCCCTGTGAGCTCAATGTGCTGCAATCAATGCACATGACCTTTGGGTAACCTCTGTAGCTTCAGATGGAACGGAACACTTCTCAGACATCACCTCTACTAACCCGCAGTGCATGCTGACACTTCCTAGGACTGAAGCAAGAGGGTGCAGAGGATGCTTGAGGACTGGCACAGACGATCTCTCACAGCAGAACGCAGGACAACAGAGGGTATTCACTTCCCAATGGCAGCCTGCCAGCACAGTGGATTTGACAAGACAGGATGGGGCAGAATACATCCTCTCTGCTCAGTCAAGCTTCTAATAAACAATTTGAATTACTAGAAATGAATGGGGGGGGTGCTTTAAAGCAGACTGTTTTGCAATCTTCCTGGTGTTCTCTCTTCCCTTTCCTTTTCCGCTTGTGTGCACTCTCTGTCTCAGTCTCAGTCTCTCTCTCATTCATACACATACACTCCCTTTTATGCTAAGACCAAAAAGATTGTGATCCCCTGTTATGTGTGTGCAGATAGGTGAAGACTTCTGTCTCATACCTCCCCAAACATTGACCTGGTTCTCACAATCAAAATAAGCCACCATGGTACAAACCACCATGCAAGGGGTCTTAAATTGAGATTTGGTAAATCCATTTCCTAGACCTGACTCAGCCATTAAAGTTCACTGGGTGACAGTGAGCCATTCAGTGACTCTCAGTCTAACCTACTTTACAGATTATTGCGAAAATAAAAGGGAAAGGAAGAAGATTACTACATAAGCTGCCTTGGGTTCCTTGTAGGGAAAAGGTGGCATATAAATGTAATAAAAATATCTATAATAAATCAATTTAAATTGCAATGTGTACAAGATGAAATTTCCATAATCACTGTCCATGTACAATTTGCTGTGGCATAAAACTCCAAATGGGTTATTGGAGGGCTGTTTCCCCCTGCAGCAAGATATGCCACCCAGGTTTCGATGACACAACAAGCTGCACCCAGGGGTGATTATGAAAATTGCACCCCATATATGCCATGTTTTCAATAAGTCACTGTAGCTTACTTTAATTGTGAAGCATACCCTGTCATTTTTAATCATATATATAAAACACCTAGGAATTATGTGGTTTTCTAAAAGGTTTTTTTTTAAACTTACACCACTTTAGGTGCTTTGGAAATAACCATCATAAAAAGTGCTGCTGCAGCTGCAGGCATCTAAACATTACACTACACCTTCACAGTTCACCACACCTTTAAGAATTAAACAGCAATTGGCACTACTCCAATCCCAGTCATTAAGTACTGTTAGCTGTCACTAGGCCTAACCAGTGGTGTTGTCCATAGCAACTCATTCAGCCTATCTATAATTGCACTACTTATATCTCATCGGTGTTGGCTGTGTTCTGGAGTTGCTCCTAGCAACAGCTACTACCACCACAGGTGCAGACTTCTGAAGTTGGCCAAGCAATCATTTGGACTCATCTGACCAAATTCTCTTACAATCCTTTCTAAGGTGCCCTTTCCAGAGTTACCTTAGCAACCACTAGGTTTGCTCACAGTTCCATCACTACAGCTATCTATAGTTATTCCCATCCGAAGTGCCTTCCGGGTATCACTGGACATTTTCTTCTCATTCATCTCCTGTAATTCTTTAAAGTTACGACTTATCGACGTCATGATTTTTCTCCCATAAAACTATGCACCCACTCACAAAGTCTTGCACCTTTGTAGTTATCCATGCATGGTCTTTGCAGGGTTTCCACAACTTATGAGGACATAAAATTGTCATATCTAAACAAAGAGCCAATATCTTCCTCTGAAGCTCAGTTAGAAAACTACAGCAGTCATGAAGGAATATTAATAATGATCACTGTTGTTTATATTCCGTCATTAATCCACATGGTATGTAACAAAATTAAACAGAACAGAACTCAGCCTTAAAAGCTTTAGAGCCGTAAAAAATATAGTGCTGAGCAAACTTAAAATTCCACCACTTGTACCATACAAGACATGATACTAGCATTATCTTAAAAGTCTTATCTTGTTTTTAAAATGAGAGTAAAACAGAAAAGGAATGCTCTAGCCCATAAGAAGAAATCCAAAAATCTAGAAGGTAAAACAAAATTAAATATTATACAGAATTCCAAGTATGATAGGCCTTTTCTTCTAAATATTTTTCTAGTTCTTACAAAGCTAAGTAAGTCAACTATGTAGCTAGTATTTACCTAGGTTTCAGAATCTGGAGGGAAACATTATAGGTTTAGAATAGTGTGAAGATGCATCTGCCTTGGTCAATTAAGACAGTTAAAAACCAGTTTACTCACTGCAGCCGCATTCAAACATGACAAACTATGGCTTGTTAAGTGAAATGCAAGCTTCTGACTCACATTTCCTCTCTCCTTCTGGGGCAGACACAAGGATACTACAGATTTTCTCTTCTGTAAAGAGAAGGTAAAGAAGACTTTACCATTGTAAAGTCATGGTAAACTTCCGGGGCAACTGTCTTAGATGTGAAAGACACCACACTGCAGTGGTTCCACTCCTACTTGGATGACAGGCTCCAGAAGGTAGTGCTTGGGGGTATTGTTCTGCCTCTTGGAGCTCCAGTATGGAGCTCCTCGGGGGTCAGTTCTGCCCGCCTCCCCCCCATGCTATTTAACATCTATATGAAGCCACTGGGTGAGGTCATCCAGAGTTTTGGACTACATTGCCAACAGCATGCTGGTGACACGCAACTCTTCTCTCTCCTTCTCATCTTCAGGAGGTGAGGCTGTGGATGTGCCGTACTGGTGCCTAGCCACGACCATGGGCTGGATGAGGGCTGACAAAGTGAAGCTCACCTCAGGCAAGACGGAGATGCTGTTGGTGGATGCTTATTCTGACTGGATGGAAGGAATCCAACCTGTTCTATATGGGGTTACCTACCTGAACCGGTGCCTGGCCGAGGTAATGGACTGGATGAGGGCCAATAAACTGAGGCTCAATCCAGACAAGACGAAGGTCCCGTTGGTGGGTGGTTTGGGCTTCGGGGTGGGGGACTTGGGCCTTGTCCTAAATGGGGTTGCACTCCCTCTGAGGGACAGGGTTCACAGCTTGGGAGTGCTCTTCGACCCTGAGCTGTGGTTAGGAGCACCTTCCTTCAGCTCTGGCTGATCCATCAGCTGCGTCCCTATCTGGAGAATGACTGCCTGGCGACAGTGACCCACGCGTTGGTAACTTCCTGACTAGATTTCTGCAACACGCTCTACGTGGAGCTACCCTTGAAGATGGTCCGGATACTTCAATTGGTGAAAAATAGAGCTGCCAGGTTGCTGATGGGGACTGGGCATTGTTCTCATATAACCCCAGTTCTCCGTCAGCTTCACTGGCTCCCTATTGAAGTCCGGGCCCAATTCAAGGTGTTGGTTATGACCTATAAAGCCCTTAACGGCTTGGGACCTGGTTATCTAAAGGAACGTCTGCATCCATATATGCCCACCCGCCCCCTACGTTTGGCAGCGGATGCCCTTCTCGGGGAACCCTCCATGAAGGATATTAGGAGGGTGAGCACCCGGAGGAGGGCCTTTTCTGTGGTGGCGCCCCACCTATGGAATGCGCTCCCCAGAGAGGTCTGCCTGGCACCGTCATTATTTGCTTTTCGGCGCCAGGCAAAGACCTTTTTATTTAAAAGTTATTTTAACCGTAAATTTATTATTATTGTATTTATAGATTTTAATATATAGCTGAGATGGTACATTTTTAAATTATTGATTGTATTTTTATGTCTGTTGTGAGCTGCCCCGAGGCTTTGTTGCGATGGGGGCGGCATAAAAATGTTTTAAATGAATAAACAAAAATAAATAAATGTTTTATATTGTTTTAAATATGCTACTATGAAACACCCAGAAAGCTTCAGCTATTGGGTGGCTAAATAAACAAACAAATAAATAACCACCAAGATTTAGCAATATGACTGAGTCCGATTAGCGTAATATCTAAGATCACTTCCTCGTGAGGTTTGTGCTCAAGAGCGGCCTTTCCCTCTGTAAGGGTGTGGACACAATTGTGTGGGCCCACCCCCGAAGCCGGATGGATCCAGATGGCCCTGGGGGAGTTTCCGGCTGACAAGACTGGTGCTCCTGTCGAAGCTCTGGTCGAACTATGGAATGGGGAAATGACCAGGGCTATTGACACGATCGTCCCTAAGTGTCCTCTCCCGCCGGGCAGAGCCCACTCTTCCCCTTGGTATACACCTGAATTGCGGGCGATGAAGCAGGTTGGGAGATGGCTAGAGTGTAGGTGGAGGAAATCACGGGATGAATCTGACCGAACACACTTAAGAGCCCATTATCAGGCCTATGCTGTGGCAGTGAGGGCGGCAAAAAAGAAATTCTTCTCCGTTTCCATTGCTTCCTCACAATGCCGTCCGGTGGAGCTTTTTCGGGTGGTACAAGGGCTAGTTCATCCTGGCCCTAAGAAAGATCTGGTTCCACCCTCGAAGGCCCACTGTGACAACTTTGCCAAGCATTTCAGGGAGAAAATCACTCAGCTTCGTCACAAGCTGGACTCCACTAGTGACTCAGGCTTCTGGGGAGATACCAATGTCGCTGTCTGGTCCAAAACTGATGGATGAATTTCAGTTACTGCGGCCTGATGATGTGGACAAGGTGCTTGGACAAGTACGTCCCACCACTTGCCTATTGGGACGCTTGCCCATCTTGGCTAATTAACAATGCCAAGCACGGAATAGGGACCTGGATCTTGGAAGTGGTCAACACCTCTCTGAGGGAGGGCCGGGTACCTGCCCCTTTAAAGGAGGTGGTAGTCCAACCGGTCCTGAAGAAGGCATCACTGGATCCAGAGATGGCCACTAAATATAGACCAGTGGCCAACATCCCGTTTCTGGACAAGGTGTTGGAGCAGGTGGTGGCGGGACAACTCTAAGCACTCTTGGATGAAACTGATTATCTGGACCCATTTCAGTCCAGCTTCAGACCCGGATACGGTACTGAATCTGCCTTGGTCGCCCTGTACGATGACCTGTGCAGGGAGAAAGACAGGGGGAGTGCATCCCTGTTGGTTCTCCTGGACCTCTCAGTGGCTTTCCATACCATCGACCATGGTATCCTTCTGGATAGGCTAGCGAGATTGGGGGTTGGAGGCACGGCTTTGCAGTGGTTCCGCTCCTACCTCAATGGCCGATTCCAGAAGGTGATGCTGGGGGACTATGGCTCTGCACCATGGCAGCTAAGCCATGGAGTACCGCAGGGATCCATTTTGTCCCCTTTGCTATTTAACATCTACATGAAACCGCTGGGAGAGGTCATCAGGAGGTGCGGGCTACGGAATCATCAGTATGCTGATGATACCAAGCTCTACCTCTCGTTCTCAACCAATCCAGGTGAGGCAGTGGCTGTACTGAACCGGTGCCTGGCTGAGGTAATGGGCTGGATGAGGGTCAATAAACTGAAGCTCAATTCAGACAAGACGGAGGTCCTGTTGGTGGGTGGATCGGGCTTCGGGGAAGGGGACCTGAACTTAGTCCTGAATGGGGTTGCACTCCCTCTTAGGGACAAGGTCCGCAGCTTGGGAGTGCTCATCGACCCAGAGCTTTCACTGGAAGCTCAGGTGACAGCGGTGGCGAGGAGCGCTTTCTTTCAGCTTCGGCTGATCCACCAGCTGCGTCCCTACCTGGAGAACGACTGCCTGGTGACAGTGACACATGCGTTGGTGACTTCCCGACTTGACTTCTGTAATGCGCTCTACATGGGGCTGCCCTTGAAGACGGTCTGGATAGAGCCTGGCAGCTCTATCCGGACCTGCCAGGCTCTAATTAGAGCTGCCAGGCTGCTGACGGGGACTGGGCGTTATTGTTCACATGACTCCAGTTCTCCGTCAGCTTCACTGGCTCCCCATTGAAGTCTGGGCCCAATTCAAGGTGTTGGTTATGACCTATAAAGCCCTAAACGGCTTGGGTCCTGGTTACCTGAAGGTGCACTTACATCCATATATGCCCGCCGGCCTTTGAGATCAGTGAGATCAGCGGGAGAGGCCCTTCTCTGGGAACCCTCCATGAAGGACATTAGGAGGGCAAGTACTTGGAGGAGGGCTTTCTCTGCGGTGGCACCCAATCTATGGAATGCGCTCCCTAGAGAGGTCCGCCTGGTGCTGTCGTTATTCATTTTTCGGCGCCAGGCAAAGACCTTTTTATTTAAACGTCATTTTAATTGTTAATATTATTTATTTATTTTATATCTTTGGCCAGGTCGACTCAAATTACATTGTTTTTATATTGTGATTAATTATTTATTGATGTGAGCCACCCCAAGGCTTCGGCGAATGGGGCGGCATAGAAGCTTCCTAAATAAATAAATAAATAAATAAATAAATAAAATCATTTCCACCTAAATTGCTTGAAAGCATTATTAAAGATAAAATTAGGAAACATGCAGAAATACAAGATTTGCTGAAAAAGAATTAACATGTCTTCTACAAAGTTAAGTCCTGTCTCATTAACCTTGTAGAGTACTTTGAGAGTATCAAGAAACTTCTGAACGGGGTGATCCAGTAGCCATTGCTTATTTTCAAAAGGTTTTGACAAAGCATACTTAGCAGTCAAGGAATAAGAGGGGAGGTCCTCTTATGGATCATTAATTGGTTAAAGAACAGAAAGCACAGAGTGGGATTCAATGCTAAATTCTTCCAGTGGAGGGATGTAACCAGCAAGGATTTGCCACAAGGACTGGGACAAATACCTTTCAATTAATTCATAAACGATCTGGAATTAGGGGTATACAGTGAAGTGGCCAGGTTTGACTACACCAAACTATTTAGCATGGTTAAAACAAAAAAGGGTGTGAGGAGCTCCACAAAGAACTTTCCAAGCTAGGAGAGCGGGCATCAAAATTGCAAATGCAGTTCAATCTAAGTGTAAAGTGACACACAGCGGGGCAAAAAGGGAAAATCCCAACAAGAAGTACGGGCTGACAGGATCTGAGCTACCATTGGCTAATCAAGAAAAAGCTCTTGGGGTTCTGGTGGACAGCTCAATGAAAACGTCAATCTGGTGTGTAGCTGCTGTGAAAAAGACAAACTCCATGTAAGGCATGATTAGTTAAGGAAATGAAAATAAAATTGCCAAGATCATACTCCCAGTATACAAATCTATCCTATGACTGTGCTTTGAATATAGTGTTTTGGCCACTGCAAGCAAAATTATCAAGGGGCTAGAGCAACTCTCCTGTGAGGAAAAGTTACAACAGCTTGAATTCCTTAGCTTAGGAAAAAGAAGGAAATACGTGATTCAGGTGTACAAAATTGTGTATGGTGTGAAAAGAGTTCATAAGATGACCTCTTTTCTTTCTCTCATACTGGAATCTGGGGTCAATCCTATGTAACAGATTGGTGGAGTTACTGGACAGATAAAAGGAAATACTTTTTCACATAATACACAGTTAAGCTATGTAATCCACTTCCACAAAATGTAGTGATGGCAACCAATTTATAGGTCCTCAAAGGTGACTGGATACATTTATGGATAAACCTTGATAAGCCTACATTGGATAAGCCTATCAATGGCTACTAGTTCTGATCGGCTACATGGTACTTCCAGTATCAAAGGTAATATGCCTAAGTACAACAATTGCTGAGGAACTTGGGCAGGAAGGTGCTGTTGTGATTGTATGCTAATACACTGAGGTTCTGCTTATGGTTCCAGTGGGTAGCAAGGTGGCCACTGTAAGAACAGAATACTGCGCTTCGATGGTCCCTTAGTCTAATCCAGCATAAGTTCTTATGTTCTTAAACCACAGTTAGTCTTAACTATGTTTTACTGAAACAAGGCAACTTCAACCCAAGGTTGACGGAACTAGTTTGTTTCAAAATGCCATAAATGGACCAAAAAGTCTGATAATTCACTGTGGGTTAAACAAGACACAGTAGCTTGTAGCATGGAGCACATGTCAGGTATCATTTGACTAATCACCTCCATGGCTGCAGTTGGTCATGATGTCTAAACCTGGGCAGGCTGGTTTGCTGGAGGGCAAATAAGATTCAAAAAGCTCACTGGTTATTTAAAGGCTGTTTTCTCCTCCAACAAGCCATGCTCCTTGAATCAGATGATCCAACAAATTGCACCCTGGTGGGTGATTAGACAAATGGTACTCATCACTGTTTAATCCATGGTAATCAAGCGAACCAGGTCAATGCAGCTTTTCACATTCAGACATAATGCTAAACTGTGATTAATTGAAAACAGAAGCAAAAGCTTCCAATTTCTTCCTCATGGCTGCACTGGAGGAGGAAAGGGAAAGTGGGAATGTTTTATGTCTGAATGCCAGCACTGGAACACAACCAAAAATACTTTTAGATATGAACCCTTTCTGTGTATGAACTGCCAGACACAAGAGAGGGACATAAACACATCCAGCAAAGCAGTAGCCAATCCATCTCCTGTTTGGGCTATTCAGACTTGCAGATGACCAAATGTACATTATCTGCATTATGATAAATTAAAAGCATGTATTTTTAAAAACCTGTATAAGCAAAAGCAATATTAGTAGTAGCTTGTATTGACAGTGACCAATAAGCAACAATAACTAGAAACAAAGAGCCATGAGAGGAGTATCAAAAGAAATCCAAACTACAAAACAATTAATACATCTAAGATATCCAATTGTATGGTACCCTGTTATACGTGTAAGTTCAACTTAACCATCTTCTGTAACATCAAAATGCATAATTCTAATGTGATTTAGCTAATTTGTAGCTATCAACTTGCCAAAGTATGCTAGGCAGAAAACATATAATCAAAATACAGAACAATAGTTTCTTTTTAAGAGGAAACTAGTAGCTGCTCCAAATCCCCAGCACCACCTGCATCATCTCTAGAATGACACCACTGATGGATCTTTCTGCAGTAAGTAAACTTGATTTAGCACAGCACTTATAAGGAACTGGAAACCACTGCAATGGCTGGGGTACTTTGAGCAATCAAGCAGTGGTAAAGTGCTAATGTATATGCTGTCAAAACAATAGACACTGCAATTTGTTGCTCAAGGTTACACAGTATAGGAATAACCCACAACCAAACACTTATTATCTGCTATATAAACTATAAACCAGACCTGCTAAATTCAGGATGTCCCATGTAGTCCCCTTAGGAAAGAATTTCTTCATGTTTACAGCCCACTGGTAATCACTCCACCTTTCCTTCCAAGCCTGGAGAATGGCCTGTTTGAGGTTGACAACTTTCATCATTTTCCTTTCCTGAAAGAAATATGGAAAATATGGAACAGCAACTCTGTCATGGATCCCTGTCAAGCTTCCGGCACTGCTAGTTATTAAACAAATAACATTTTTCAGCATACAACATTCTATACCCTTTAAGAGCATTTTCTCAGTACCACCCAGGTGCTTCATGACTGCACAAGGATTTGAACCTTGATATCCTATTCTGTGACTGGCCTGACCTCAACAGGTTCGTTCCATGACTGAATGGAAACCAGAACCTAGATCTCCTGAGTCCCAGTCCTGCACTCTTAACCACTATACCACACTGGTTCTCCCATGGTTAGGTCCACACTCAGTTCCCTACAATCTGCTGTCTGCTGTTCCCACCTTGTCTGAGCATTTCACTTAGAGAAAGTTTGACACTGAAATATAAGCATTAACAGAACCTATTTCTTAGCCAGCATCCCGAAGAAAAGTTATACTTTCCCATTTCCATTATCAATGGAGATAGGGCCTTTAGCCCAATTAAAGAGAGTCACAATCATATGTAATCAAATATTTACATTTGTAAATTGTACAATGTAAATTGTACAATATAAATTACATTTATATCCTGCCTTTTTAAAAAAAGAACTCAAAGTGGCTTACATCATTCTTCTCTGCCTGCTCTCAATCTTATCCCCACAACATTGAGGCTTAATCCAGACAAGACGGAGGTCCTGTTGGTAGGTGGTTCAGCCTTCCAGGCAAGTGATTTTTGCCCTGTTCTGGGTGGGGTTGCACTCCCCCTAAAGGACAGAGGGAATGCTCCTTGACCCTGACCTGTCCCTGGGATACCAGGTGCTGGCAGTGGTGAGGAGCACTTTCCTTCAGCTTCAGCTGATACATTAGTTACATCCTTACCTGGATGAGCAGTGCCTGGCAATGGTGACCCATGCTCTGGTAACTTCCTATTTGGACTACTGCAATGCACTCTATATGGGGCTGCCCTTGAAGATGGTCCAGATACTTCAATTGGTCCAGAACGGAGCTGCCAGGTTATTAATGGGGACCGGCAGATACTCCCATATCACGCCAGTCCTATATCTTCTACACTGGCTGCCAACTGAAGTCTGAGCCCAATTTAAGGTGCTGGTAATGACCTATACTTAAGGAATACAATCCTTTACTTTTCAAATGTGTTTAAGACATACTGCTGTTCTTCAACTTAATTTTGAAAATAGTCAAAACTAAGTCTTTGAATCTTGCTTTGAAATAGCACATACACAGAGAGAGAGGGAAACCTGGAAAACCAGGCTGTGCAATTAAGAAGTACTGTATTCTTCTTTCTTTGCATGATGGTTCTTGAGATCTTATAAGTTAGACTGGGTGGTAGAAAAAGCAGGTAACCTGAATTCTGGGTTTATATTCCCAGATCTAGGAAGGCAAGAGTTTAACTGTAATGCTTTTTCTAGTAAAAAGCAGGGCTGAGCTACAGAAAACAAAAGACAGATTGCTAATCCCACCAGTTCTATTTAGTTTACAGGCCAGATTTGCTTGCTCTGGAGCAACAACAGAGCCGTGTGAGATTAACACATTATGTTGCACATCACACAGACACAATAGTTTAACATAACATAAATGAGCCTGGTCATCTTATGGGTTGCTGAACTGCATATCTCTCCTCACCTGTTCAGAAGGATGACTTTGGAAGATTGATTAGTGCCAGTAATAGCTCTCTGGCATGCACACAATTAGTAGGCAACCCTAACTCTAACCTTAGCTTGTTGTTACATCCAAAATGGAGATTCTGGTTAAACAGTAACTATTTACTGGACTATTTACTACAAATCAGCTGGACATGCACAGGGTAGGCATGTCATGAGCGGAGCCAGCTGGAGCCAGGGGTCAGACTAGATGGCCCAGGAGGTTCTTTCTGACTCATTGTTTCTATAACCTAGGGTTTGAAGTTGCCTCATTTTCAAACTGACTATAGTTAGTGATAATTTGTGATCCCCTGATTCAGACAGAATGGGCTGGTTTAAATGAGCACCGTGAAAAAAAAATCCTTCACACAATCCAACAATATTCCATGGGCTATTTGAGGGTTACTGACCCCTCAAACAAGTCATGACACCTGAGTTTGAACAACATGGCCAGTCACACCATGACAGCAATTAAGGAAATCTGTCCAGCACATGCATGGGGGTTAATAAATCAATGTAACTTGTTAACTACTTCAAGATTGCACAAATCAGATCAATGAGAAGCCAGGTTTAAGGGAAACTGAAAGCAAACGTTTCTGATTTCCTCCTACTGAATGCAGGGGAGGAAAAGGGAAGGGGGAAAGCAAGTGTGGCCATCTTTTGCTTGCCTTATCAAAGGCTCCTAGATCAAGTTAGCAATTAAGATGTAAGTGTTGTCATTTTTATAAATAACTAAGTAATTATACAACAAGAAGCAACTGGAAGGAATAAATGGGCAGTTTTCACTAGCAAAGCAAATAGAAGTGAGTTCTCCCAAAAATCTGTATTATAGTTGCTTTTGTTAACATTGCTAAATGACCAGAGAGCAGAAAAGGGAAGGGAAGTAGCCAAGTTTGCAGGCAACACCAAATCATTCAGGATATCAAAGCACTCTTCAAAGAGCTCAAAAAGGATCTCTCCAAAATGGGTCAGTAAGCATTGAAATTGAAATACAGCAGGCATGTATTCTTACATAATGTGAGAAACAGGTTCACATCATGTAAGATACATGTGTATGTATATTACTCTGTTACAGGTATATTGGCATTGTCTAAGTGGTGATGACACAAGAAAGAAATCTAGAAGTAGGGAGACAGAGTAGTGTAATGGTTAGTCCAAGATTTGGGGTTCTAGTCACCCTTAGACAGAGAAGTTCACTGGGTGACTTTGGGCCAGTCACTGACTTTCAGTCCAACCTACTTCACAGGGTTGTTGCAAGAATAAGATAGAGAGGATGAGGATTGTGTAAACTGCCCTGGGATGGAAAAGTGAGAGAGCTTATTTCCCATAACATTAGAACACAAGTCTACACAATTGAATTGATTTGCTGTAAATTTAGAACATACAAAATAAACCCCTTATACTCCCAGTTAATAATTTACAGCACAATCCTTATACATGTGGCTTTTTTACAGAATTGCTGCCTTTTTCTCACTGCCACTAGTTTTAAAATGGAATTACTCGAATTTATGCAGAAGTGGTCTATAAATCATCATTAGCTATGACGGTTATATAGAACCTTCATGTTCAAACACTGTTCCTCAAATTACTGGTCAGTCAGGGCATCTGCTTTGCCACTATTATAGGAAGCAGGATGTTGGACTATACAAACTTTTAGCCTAATCCAACATGTATCGTTCTGTGCTTGTTAGCTAGCAAAACAGTTTACTAGGACAGCAGTAGTATTGACAGGTAGTGTGATAGCAATATTCAACAAAATCAGGAAAGTCAGAACACTCAAACAGTTTCTCAGATACAGAACCAGAAGAAAAATGTGTCAGCACCTGAAGTTAAATTATGATGCCTTGGAAATACACTGTTCAGTCCTAAATGTATTATCATGCAAGAACACTCTCTCAGAATCACTTAAAACACACCAGTTTTGCCAAATCTGTTGAAGAGCCCCTAAATGCTAGGGTTATATTCTTAAATATTCGTATCTACGACTATGTGTGTCCGCTTCTGCTGTGTATACATTCCCAATGCATACAACTGGCGATGTATACATAAGACTGTGCAAAGCTGAAGATAGCTTTCCTCCAGTCTAGAATAAAAGAGAAAGAGAAGGGTTCCTAAGTTCCATGATCAGAACCGCAGCGGAGGCGGAGATGGCTTAAGCAGAATTAACCCTAAAATACTAGACTGCACGGTTTTTCAAATAAGCTATAGAGGGGAAGGATGCATAAGGAAAACTGCACTTACCAACCCCCTTTCCTGTACAAAGGAAACACACTCCTCTTAGTTCCTGCATTCCGCCATCTTCGCACCTAGCAAAGAACCTCTCCTGGATTGGCTACGTCAAATTCCTATGCCGTAAAGGCTGCTGGGAGTTGCAGTTCTACTTAGCCGACAAACGCTAGCAGCGTGCTAACCCGTCAAGGCTACCGGACAAAATGAGACGTGCTTCTGAGTAAACGTGCAAAGATTACACTGTTTCTGGACTTACTTTGGAAAGGTAAATTAATCATAAAAGTCCCTTCGTTAGTAAATAAATATTGCATCGAAAGTGAAGAGTATATTTTCAAGTACATTTACCCTCTCTTGTAGCAGGATTCCCATTTTAATGGTCCATACTAACCAACAGATTTGCATATATTTTGTATGTGTTCATTCACTTGTACAGTTGCATATTTAGAAATAATTACTATAAATTAAACAAAAATGCAATACATCTCAGCAGTGTGGGAGAAATGATGACCAGCTGTTTAATCTGCTGCCTAGGTGGCTAACTTTTGGTAGGAAACTGCAAAAGCCCTTCATTCCTTTCCTAGATTCTTGATCTTTAAACTGGGCTTGAACAGGTCAGACACTGAAGTATAGGATGCCTTGTAACAGAGGTCTATCCTCTGATAGTCCTTCAAAGAAAACTCTGCCTTTTCTTCAGCAGGACCCAATCTGCACAATTTTTGTTGTTTAGTTCACAATCTCATGGACAACATTCCTCCAGGTCCTCCTGTCCTCCACCATCCCCCGAAGTCCATCCAAGCTCACACCCACTGCCCCAGTAACTCCATCTAGCCACCTCATCCTCAGCTGTCCCCTTCTTTTGCCTTCAATTGTTCCCAGCATTAGGGTCTTTTCCAATGAGTCGTTCCTTCTCATTAGGTGGCCAAAGTATTTGAATTTCATCTTCAGTATCTGGCCTTCTAAAGAGCAGTCAGGGTTGATTTCCCTTAAGATTGACTGGTCTGATCTCTTTGCAGTCCAAGGGTCTCTCGGGAGTCTCCTCCAGCACCACAATTCAAAGGCCTCAATTCTTTGGCGCTCAGCCTTCCTTATGGTCCAGCTCTGCGCAATACCGCTGGGTTATTTACCCTGTGTGGGGCATGAAGAACTCTTATCATTATAATCAGTAATTAATATAGTGCCATCTATATACATGATGCTTTAAAAAAAAGAGAGGGCAAGTTGCTACCTCAAAGGATCTGTAATCCAGACAGACAAGAGTAGAAGAGGAGGGAAATGCAAGGTAGCCCTTAGTACTGGCACAGAAAGCAACTACAAAGAAACCATCTCTTCAACAGACATAGCAAGAAGAGCATGTGATAAATACTGAGATTATATATCATTCTGCACTTGTGGGACAAGAGAAGTTTTTTGTGTGTCTGTACAGTTGGAAACAGAATATTACAGTTTGTTCTGAATCCAGCAAGACTTTTCTTATCACCTTCCCCTCCTACTTAGCAAAACAGTGGTTTTGCTGTAGGATTTCCATTTTCAACAAATAGAGAAAATCATAACATTCCCATCATAGCCACCTTGACTGTGGTTTTTCTTGAGAGGAAGGCAGATTACAAATATACAAATAAATGCATTATCCCCATGCCATGGCAGGAAAATCGCCAACTGCTTCATTTCTATATCACCAGGCTGCTCTTAAAGGCACCAGATGAGAGCTTGTTAAGAAATGAAATTTCGGAAGGTTTTCACTCTGAGAACCCTTAGAGCCATCATACCTGCTTTTCTCATCCAGCAGGGCATTTCTCTTGCTCTCGTTCTCCCTGCCTTTCCAGAAAGCCACATTTTGCATGCCTCTGGCCTCACAGCTTCTGACTGTTCTAGCATCCATTTCTGTCATGTGCCGCTCTGTTTCTAGTGGAAGACTCCATGGTGTTTGCCATCTGGCTGGAAGAATCAAGCAGTGACATGGAAATGAACCTGAGGAGGTAGAGATTAATTCACCAGTAGTGGGAGGATGCTAAGCTGTCAGCCTACTTACCCTGGGAATGGATGCTGCCACAGATGTGAACTGGACTTACTTAAAATACGAGCCACATGATGAAACAGATTCTGATTCTGATGCATTAGAAACCATCTGCTTCAATCACCTTCCCTGAAAAGCAGGCCTGTATAAATGCCTCAATTGTATGAGACAGCAGAAAAGGTTAACTTTGTAGTATTAAGTGTAGAATTCAGACTCATAAGAATACATTTGAAAAGGAATCTTCAAGTTTCTAGTCCACACAATTGTTTTTTAAAAGTTAAACTAAGGTAAAAGGATGCCAAATAAGATTTCACATGGTCTACAGCAGACCCATAGCATTTTGTGCTTCCCTGTGATTCAAAAGAAGAATAAAGTCTGCATCAAAAGTGGGGAATACAGTGTAAATTACACAAAATAGTTCTGCATTTATACTAATTGCAGAATAGGTCTTATCATGCCATAGAATTTTGATATTTACATATTTATTTGTTTATTAACTGTATAGATTTGCTCTAAATGTTCATTTTTGGTACAGAGCACACAAACCCCCATCCTGCCAATGGCACGATGAGCCTCATTTCAGTTCCCCATAGATTAATGGAGTCACTGTAACTTTCCCCCAGGATAAATGTTTACAACCTTCCAGTAAAACAGATTATTTTGATCCAGCCTGGTTTTTGACTCACCCGTAGAACTGAAGTTGCCTTGGTCATCATGGTGAATGGACATTGGCAGGATAACTGATTCTCAGCACTGACAAGATGGTGGTTCTGGGAGTGGATGGTTCATCTCTTCAAGAGGATGTTCAAGTAGTGTTGGATGGGGCATGACTGACCCAAAAAACTTGCTGCCTGAGGCAAAGAACAAGATAGCACCCTTCTCCCTTCCATACACAGAAGCTGACCAGACTGACAGTTGACTCCATCTTCAGAACTGCTGACATGGCAACAAGAGGCCCAAGTCACCTCAGTAGCACAAGCACCATTGACCAGCATAGTCTGGCATGCCAACTGCAACTTCTCCTGCAAAGAGGTAATCTTTTTGGTTAGGATAGCTGTGTCTCCCAGTTAAGAGAACAGTCCTTTATCTGAAGCTGCCCTCCATTTGTAGGGCTGTCTGCGTCAGAGATCAAAACCCAAAGAAGGGAGAGCCAGGGGCCTTGAAGCTCTTTATCAATAGCTAGTACTCAGACAGAAGATTGTGCAGGCAGCAGGATCGCCTTATCAAAACCTTCTTCACTGCAGTGTGGTTGATTATGTTTAAATTTGCCTCTATCCATGTAAATTAGCACTTGTTGGTGCTATTGTGTCCTTTTAATCCCTTTTTTCTACAATCAGTGTACTTCAATAATTCCCCATTTAGACTATTGCAACACTTTGCGCATGGGGCTGACACAGAAGACAGCCCAGAAAGTGCATTTACTACAGAATGCAGCTGCCCAAGTTCTGTTGGACCAGTTACTAGAATCATACCCTATTGTTGCAATGCAAGCAGAGGTACAGTGATTGCGCATGGCAACTGGGGAGAGGGCATTTTAGGTGGTTGTATTTTTTATTTCATTCTCCCACAAAGGAGGCTACGATAGCATCTACACTTATATTTTAGGGCCATGTTTTCTTCACCAAGGCATTGACATTTTAAATTGCTTCGTCTGCTTTTTATACTGCTTTAAAGTGTGGTTTCAGTGCTGTTTTTACTATTCTATGTTCGAGTGTTTTGCTTAATAATTTTTAATCCTGTAAATTATCTTAAAAATCCACATTGTAGGGCAATATAAAATTTTAGAAAGGAAAGGGACTAGGAGACCCCTCTGGCACCTGTTCCCTTTGCCCACAAGAAGCGGTGAAGTTTGGTTTTGATCCTTTGCATACAGTGCATACATAAAGCAAAAACCTTTTTTGCTTGGCCTTGTTGTTTTCTCTTTAACAGCAGCCTGACTTACAGAAATTAAGCAGGAGATGCTTCTCCCATCACCATCTTCCTCCATGCTGGGAGATGTTTCATCTCATCCACTGCTGCACTCCGTTCAGAGGCAGTTCCATTACACATCCATTCCACAGACTGATGGGTGGATGTATAAGTGGAGGTTATGCCAAGAAGGCAGAGAGTAGATTGAAGCTAGGTGAGTATTCCATAGAAGTAGTGCACGGCATGCATGCGAAAAGGTATGCAGGTCAACCAACAGTCTGTTCCTTGCTAGTTGTTTAGGTTAAACTAGGTGTAACGCTGAATCCATGGCTATTCCCCACAGTTCCCAACTGTTCCTCCACATGTCTAACAGAACTTAATACAGTAATACCTCGGTTCACGAACGCTTCTGTTCGCAAACAGAAAGTTCAGCAAAATTTTGCTTCCATTCGCAAAGTCCGTATCAGGTGACGAACACGATCACGGCCATCTTCCCCACACCACAACCAGGGCGTGTTCCAGCAGGGAAGATGGCCGCGATCATGTTCGCATGGAAACAAATGCGGCCATCTTCTCCACTCTGACACGTGGTTGCGGCTTCCTCTAGTCTAACCTCCTCCCCACCCACCTTCCTGTCCTCCACACCAGAAGTCTCCTCAAGCAAGGCTAGTGTTCTCTCTCTTCAAAGTACTGTACTTTGTTTCATATTTTTGTGGTTAAAAAAAATTACATATGGTTCAGAACAGAGTAACCTTATTTACATTGAACCTTATGGGGAAATTTGACCCGGCTTGCGACCAATTCGGTTCACGACCAGAATTGTGGAACGAATTAAGTTTATGAACCGAGGTACCACTTGTAAGGCCTTGACATCAAAATGTCCATGTTCCTCCACGTGTGCCCTGCCCTCACTAGCGACAACTAGCTATGTGAAGCTCCAGGGAACAAAGATTGCTGGAGTGTCATGATGGGGGTTAAGTTATTCTGCAGACAAGAAGGCGAACTGGATCTAGTTTGACCACCTGACTAAGAATGCAGTGCAGCTCTGCAGGCTTACACTGTAAGGAGAAGCTTCATTTCTTCTGCAGGTCACCTGACAATGCTGAGCCAGAAGTCCCAGGACAGGCAAGCATTCTTACTAACCTTT